AGGGACACCTCCCACTGTCCCAGGCTGCTCCAAACCCATCCAGCCTGGCCTTGGCCACTGCCAGGGATCCAAGGGCAGCCAGAGCCTGCCCAGGGAACAATTTTTTTCTAATATCCGATCCAAAGCTGCTGTCTTTCACTTTGAAGCCATTCCCCCTTGTCCTGTCACCAGCTGCTCTTGTGATGCCTGTCCTCTGGAAACCTGTCAATTTTCCCCTTGCTGTAGTAATTATTGTTTCTGTTATTAATCATTGCCATCATCTTCTGCAGGTTTTTTTTGTTCTTTTTTTTCAATAATTCACTCTATTAACTACAGGCTTGGCTCCCAACAAGAAATTACAACAGCTCGAGGCATACAAGGATATAATTTTGCCAAGATCTGCAAACCAAGCACAGAAAGTCACTGTACTTTGTGTACTTGATGAGGCCAACAGATCATGTGCTCACACCCCCTCCCTTTGTCACATTAGTCCTCAAGATTTCTGCAGGAATATTCTTGCTGGAAACTACCACTGAATGTGAGTAATAGTATCAGTTTGGCCTTTGTGGAAAGATCATTAAATCACAACGCACTGAGAAGGGACAAGAGTCCTCAGGCTCATTTCAAAAGCTATTTTTAGCTGTGGATATGAAGACTTTTCTTATCAAATAATTAGTCATCAGCAGTAAAGGCAAGTTAACTTTTCAGAATAAAATAGGAAGTCATTGAAACCTTTTCTGAGTTTCCAAAAAAAGGTTGATTTAGAGATCATTGAAGCCTCTGCACCTGACTGTAATTATTTAGTAACAGAAAATGGGAAAGCACCAAAAAAAAAAAATAATTGAAACTATTACAATTCCTGCCTTATTTGAAGGAAAAAGTGCTGCAGATAAAGACATTTACCCAGATTTCTGTGTTATCCCAGTGCAGGGGGATCATAAAATTTTTTTAAAAAGATGTTTTACAGCCAGAGTAGTCTTTTGCAGGAAAAAAAAAAAAAGGTGAAATCCTGACCAGCCAGAGAGATCACAGAGCAGCTCCATATTCTTGGGAAATGATGTTCTGACTGCAAAATAACGCTGTCACAAAAAAAAGAATGCCAAAAGTCGTGTAAATTTGTGGTGAGGGGCTCGTCACTTGTAAAATAGTGGAGATAATGATGCTGCTGTGCCTGGCACTGGGTACATTTCATCTGGATGGCTGCATTCCATCCCAGGCACACAGATAAATTGGCAGAGTTCAAAGGAGAGTAACAAAAAAGAACGAAAAGGGCTGAAAAGGAGACCTACAAGATAAGATATGGGAAACTGGGTATAGCTGGACTGGAACAAATTAATCTAAATGGCAGGAGGGAGGATTTAGGTTTTAAGTATGAACTAACCTTTATAGCTTTAAGAAAAGTTCAGCCATGGAACAAGCTGCCAAGGAAGGTTTTAGCCTTACCATCACTAGAGATACTAAAAGGCAGGAGACCATCTGTCAGGGAGAGTTTAGGGATTTAAAAAAAAAAACAGAAAAAAAAAAAAAAATGCACTGCCTTAATTTAAGAATTGAGCTAAATAACCCATTCGTGACTAGACTTTAAGGGATTAGAAATGGCATAGCTTCTCTTTTGAGGGGAAGCTCCTGGATCTTTCCACTCTGAAGATTGTCTTGATCATATAAACCAATACAAGGGATTTCTGCTGTTTTCAGATTGAGAAGGATATTTGCATTTAAATGCTTCCAGGAGATAGATGTCTAAATATTAACTTCATCATATTGATAGTACACTCTGCTTTTTTCCCCATCAGGCTTTGAACACTTGTCTAGGGCTCATACTGAATAAAGAATTATAGAACCATGGAATATCCTGAGTGGGAAGGGACCCACAGGGATCATCAAAGTCCAACTCCTGGCCCTGCACAGACATCTCAAAATCCCACCCTGTACCTGAGAGCGTTTTCCAAACACTCCTGGAGTTCTGGCAGCCTTGGGGATGTGATCACTACCCTGGGGAGCCCCATATAACAAATTATCACCTTACTTCTTCTTCTCTGGGACCTTTTTCTCCCTAACCTCAGCTCCTCTAAGAGGCACTCAAGGCAGTCCTGTTAAAACTTCTGGAAAATCCAGGTGCCCCTGGGTTACCATTTCCCTCCTGTCATCTCCACCAGCAGCAGGTCTGGGAAGCACAGCTGCCGTGGGGCCGGTGGTGATGTATCATGGCTGTATTATATCACATTGTTTCTCTCTCAAGGCTCCTAGTGAAGTTGCTCTTGGGAAATCTCTGAATTCTGCTAAGTGGCATTTTCTATCTAAGTAACATTTCTAAAATATGTTGTTAATTTTCCCAGGAGCTGAGGCCAGTGGGAGCAATGGTTTGAACAAGGCAGGTGTTGTGTGCTCCTCCACAGGCCATGGGTGAACCTCGTGCAGCCCTGGTGATTTGTTGGCATTAATTTGTTGATTACTTAAGAGGGTCAGTTCAGATGGGATATTGGGAAGGAATTCCTCCCTGGCAGGGTGGGCAGGCCCTGGCACAGGGTGCCCAGAGCAGCTGGGGCTGCCCCTGGATCCCTGGCAGTGCCCAAGGCCAGGTTGGACATTGGGGCTGGGAGCACCTGGGACAGTGGATGTCCCCTTCCTATGGAAGAGAAGGTTAGAAAGAGATGATTTTTAAGAACCCATCCAACCCAACCCATTCCATGGCTCGATTCTATGATTCTGTGATTCTGCCAGGTTGCTCCAAACTCTGAGTTGTGGGAGCCTCTGCTCTGGGCATTAATCCAAGACTCATTTCTACTTTCTGTAAAACCTCCACTTCCCCACTTCCCCCACAGGTCCGGCTGTGGTTTACTTTTCTGTCTTTAACTTGACAAACTCCACATTCTTTGCTGTTTTCCTTGTGTGGGCACTCCTGTGCTTTTTGATGGCTTTTGGTTCCTCCTATTGTTCTCCTCTGTGTTTACTTCACAGGTTATTTTACAGCCCAGGCAACGATGTGAACTAAGGATTTCAAAGGCTCAGGCAATTGTTCTCATCACTCAGCTGTAGGTTTTTCTCCTCTGGGATAATCTGGCAGCAATTTGGAGCAGAGGCAGCATGGATGTGTCCGGGGAGGGTGGGGGTGTCGGTGGTGGGAGCCAGAACCCATTTCCTGCAAAATCTACTGCTCTGAATATTCTTCCATGTTACCTATGGGAACTTCATCAGCACAGATATCCCCCTAATTTAAATCTTTCTTTCCATTACTGGGTTACTCACAGTTAGGCAGAGCTCAGTGAGTGTCTGGAAGTTAAAAGGCCCACATTATCCTGGAATCATTATCCTGGAATATTTAACTGTCTTTCACCCATCCTGGTTTAATCCAACTCCTTTTCTCACCTCAGCCAAACCCAGATAGGTCTTTGAAAAGAGAGAGTTAGTGGTAAGAAAAGAAATTAACAGCTGTCACCTTGGATGTGGGCAAAGAATGAGTGAAGATCACGACTCAGGAGCACGAAAGCTCTTGAAAGAGCATGAACTGAACCTGTGTGCAAACACATTTACATAAAAAGGAAATTGTCTGTCAGGGGCAACTGCAATTATTCCAAATTTCATGCCAGATCACTGTTTCCTCGTTGTGTTTCACTGTATATTAGGGCTGTAAGATGCACTCTGAACTGCATGTTGAAGAACAGCCCTGCTGCTGAAAGAGCTGTAATTCATTTACTAGCAGCCCCTGTTGCTGGGCTTCAATAATGCAATCGTTTTCTGTGTGTCCCAACCATATGATTATTCCTGTTGTGTAGGAAATTTAAGTCCAAGGAATGTCAGATCAAATATAAAAGCCTAGTGCTTACCCATAGTTTTTATTCAATTAAGTAGCCATTACAGAGCTCATGCTGTTTCAAATGACATAATGCAGAACACAAATGCAGTCTTTTATTACAAATGTATGTTCATCTAAACAAAATGGCACCAAAACAATCCAAAGCCATTACAATTTTTAGATTATTATGCTTAGGCTATTATTATATGGTGAGCAGTCACTGTGAAAGACAAGTGGGGGAACTGGGGCCTCCACGAGCCACACTTCGAGCACAGCAGCGCTGTTATTTCAGATTTGTGAAATTTTTAAACACAGAGGAACAGTGCTGATAAAAAAATAATGAAAGCACTGAGCTACAGCTTGGAGGACGCTGGCTTTGCAGGTGATGAGTGGGAAAGTCATGCCTAAGACCTGACACAGACAGAAGTGGCACAGGCAGGATCTGGGCAGCGTTTAGGTGTTCCCCCCCAAAACGAGTTCTAGAACATTCTGTGCCTTCCCAGCCAGTCTCAAACACCTCACCAATGTTTGCAGATGCTTTCTTCACTGTCCACAGGATTTCTCCTGCTCAGCATCCCTGGGGGCTCCCCGTAACCAGCACGGAGCCAGAGCTCTTGGCACCACCACTAAAATGATGCCCAGCATCACAAGTGCCTTAACCTGCAGGTGGTTTTTCCTTTTTCTTTGTAATCCCACAGCTCTGCACCTCTCCAGCATTGCTGCCTGATGGGCTCCTGAGGGAAGGGCATGAGATCCCTCCTTTCCCTCTATTCCTGCCTCCTGCTCTGCCTTTCTGTTTAAAGGTGACTAATGATGCATTTCTCCCTTGCCTGGTGATTAAACACTCCTGTGGAAGGTGGGAGAGGAAGAAAAGAATCCCCCTGGGCAGAGCTGGGAATGCCACCTGGATCTGTCCCCCCTGGAGGAGTGAAAGGCTGGCAAGGCTGTCACCACTCACTTCCCAATTTCAGACACGTCGTAGCTGCCTTTTGTTGATCCAAAGCTGGGCTAGCAGAGTGATAAAGGGGCTCAAAGCTGAACACACAACAGTGCAAATGGACACAGGAAGCCTGTTATTTACTCCTTAAATACTGAAAATAATAAGGAAATAGAGATGGCACAGAAACTGTTGTTGCCTATGTAGAGACTGAAAAACAGCATCAAGAAATAAGAGTTTAGACGGTTAATTTCTATTTTTACGGACAAAAATCAATCCCAAACTTCCAAAGGTATTTTGTGTCTGGTTTATTATTTTCTTTCCATAACAGTCAATGAGGTCCAAGATCTCTGAATGTTATCATGCAAAGAGGAAGGACAGGCACAATTTCCCCACTCAAACCACTTTATTGACACACTTGCAAGACAAAAATAAACTGCTCCCTGCTTCCTACACCCCTCATGCCAGCTTCTGTCTGCAACGTTTTTGTTGTTGTTGCTTTTACGTTCAGCTCATTACGAGAAAGTCATTTTATTTTCACATTTTGCTGGCAGCTGGAATTCTCCAAATGAGGGAAGCAGGGCTGGGATGCATCTATCTGATCCCTCAGCAAAAATCCCTGCAACATACGGTGCTGTTATGACTCTGAGCTTTAGGTGGAGAGGGAAACAGGCATCTGGGCTGGGTTCATTTGTAACGCTGCACTTGCTGGATTAATATGGAAAGACAGATGAAGGCAGACACTTTAATTACTTCACCCTAACTTTTTATTACAACATCAAGTAAAATGGTGAGTTACAGAGGGTAATGGGTGTGAAACATCTGGGATGAAGTCGCACACAAGCTCATGGGTTGTTATCTGCCAATGGGGTTTTAAATATTGATAATTTCTGTACATGCATCTTTGTGTTATTTCTGATCTTCTGGATAAATCATCTCAGGATTACTTTGTTTTGCGCTGTGAGGTAGCTACTAGGACTGGGACCCCGCTTTTTTCTTCTGGAATTTTCTGAACTGGGACTGTATCGCCACGGCCGCCCGTTCTGTCTCTGGCGCGTCCATGTCTATGTCAAACTCCTCCTGGACCTTCTTTTGCCCATCTGCTCAAAGGAAACAGAACAAAAACATCAACAGGTGTTTCAGACAGGGATAATCACTAAACAGCACAGGTGGAAAATTCTGCTTCTTTCTCTTTCTTCACTCATCCAGCATCTGGGCAAGTCCCCCGCAGCCCAGGGAGCCAACGGTGAGGGACACAGGGACTCTTCTGTGCCACCTGGCAGGGAGAATTTAAAGGTCTTTTCCAACCTAAATTATTCTATGTTTACTCAATAAAAAAAGGACAGATTAAAATACTTTGAAGTAGAGGCATTAAGACCCTATTCTTATCACACTTCCAACACGAGAGGAAGAGATAATACTTCCTAAGGCTAATTTCCATCCTTTCCACTCATTTCCTGCCTCATCCCTTCCAACACACACAGCTCTTTCCCTTTGAATCATTTATGTCCAATCTCTCCACCACTGAGCTGCTTCCCTCACTTCTCTCCAGGCTCTGTGCTCTTGTCTTTCATCCTCGATCCTTGGCTCTTTGCCTTCCTTTATTCCCAGGCCTCAGCTTTCCCTTCAGCTGCATTTGGCCTCGACGTGGACAACCCAGCTGACTCTGCTGAATTTTCCTTCACCCACCTACAACTTAGAAGTGCAGCCCTGAGAAATTTCCTGCCCTGGTTGCAAAGATAACCCTAAAGTGCCTGGAGTGAGTCAGTGGGAGCACACATTCACCCCACTAACCTCGTCACAGCAGCGAGTTTTTCACCACAGACTTATTTGTTAAACTCATTTATGTCACTGCTGTGTGAACGCCACGCCAGGAGCCTGCAGGGAGCTCTGCTTGGGGGAATTCACCCATTTTGAAGCACTTTGCTTTTAACTCTTGCCATTAATACCCCCAGGATGCTCATCCCCAAGTACTGTAAATGCAAATAAAGGCAACGCTTTTCAAGTATTATTAAAATGAAAAGAAACTTATCCCCCGTTGTCTCTGTCCTGCACAGAAAACAGGGGTGCCATGCCATGATTTTTAGCATGAGTCCTGCAGTATTTCTTGCCTTTACTTCTCATTCTTACTCAGAACTCAGTTTTTATGTCCATTTTCCATGGACCACTCTAAACTGAGAAAATATTTGAAGGGAAGGTTTTGCAATATTCCATATTGATTTTATTTTAATTACAATAACCAAATAAATGCAGCTATGCTAACCTAAGAGAAATGTTTGCTTCGTATTTTATTAGTAAATATTATTATTATTTAGTAAATATATTAGTAAATTATTGTTTAGTAAACATCTAAGAAGAGAGATGAAAATGGAAGAAGGAAGAGAAAATCTGGATAAAAAGAATAGCTTGAGAGCTCACCAAGTTTTATTATACAGGCTAATGAAAAGCTAAGCTATCAAAATAATGATTTTTGTGGAAGAAAATCAATCCATTAACTTTATGTCATTAAATCACAGAACCACATCATTAAATCCAAGAATCTGCATGGTTTGTGTAACTATTGGAGCAATACAACCACCCTAATTACAGAAATACAATTACAGTTTATCTTCCGTGGGGAAAGGGACGTGAAGGTCACAAGTGACACAGCCAAGGGAAAACTGGAACTGATTTTCATTTGGTATTTATGGGTTAAAGGCTACCTAACAGTAAAAGTGGAGTCTATCCATAGATTTTAGCCTTTCAGTGTATTAATTACTGTCCTTTGGAAATGCCAGTTGGGAAAACCAGATGGGTGGATGAGTAGACACAATTGGGTTTGTATCTCTTGATGAAACCTGGTTTGTACAGCTCATTTCCTATTAGAGCCAAGTTTTAGCACTATCTTAACTTGTAACAGTGACTCAGCAATCTCATGTTAAGACCTAAGAAAATGCAGCATTTAGTGTAATTCGCCTCTAGAATTTCCAGGACACTTAAATCTTTGATTGATGTGTATCCTCATCACTGCCTTAAAAATCAACTGTAACACAATAATTTACAATGTCTTAAGGTTTGACTTCCTTTTATTTTTTTCTGACCTGCTGTTGTTGACATCAAAACCAAAATTCCATATGCACTCTTCCTATATTTCTATTTTCCTATCACCACTGAGAAATGGTAGGACAAGAAGTTTTCAGCCACGACTTAGACTTGTGATCAAGAAATTAGAAGTATTCAAAAGGGCCAAGATATTTATATGAATAATGAAGAAATTAATAATTGGCAGATGGTAGGGAAATATAATGTGCGTAATACACATTATAAAGCAACATATGCATTATCTATATACAATGTAAGACATACCTGTATAAATTACCTTCTCCCTATGCTCATATTTCACTTTTTTATACATGTATGGTCCATCCACATTTGCATACGCAGAGAATATATATTAATAAATATATATTTGCACATACATGGAGAGTTTAAGTCCTCTGTTAAATCTGAAAAGAGATGGATTGGGTATTTCCCAAATTTTGGGAGTGGATTTTCTTGGAGTTCTCCCCAAACCATTTTCTATTGATACCTGTCACTACACAGATAGTTTAACAGAGGGACTGTCTGGAGAGAAAATTCAGTGGGGTGCCAGCTCGGGTTTTGTCTAAGGGAATAAAATTTTAGCTTTTACCTTGAGCTGCTTTCCTAAAAGCAGCCTTGTGATTTCGCACACCCTGCAAATGACATGGTTTTAGTGCTTAGGAGCAGGAGTTCCAACTCCCTCGTGACAGGGGAGATGGAACCAGGTGATCTTTAAGGTCCCTTCCAACCACACCATTCTATGATTCTACAAATTAAGAATTAACCAGTTAATTAAAATGAAATCCCAGCCTGGGCTCAGAACCTGCACAGACTAGAAATCACCTCACTGCACTGATAAAAAGACTAAAAGCCTTTTTGCATCCTTCCTACTCCATATCCACCCATGTCACGCTAACTTCTACCTGTCAGTAGTTGTTCACATATCTCAAGCGTGCAGGCTGTTGGATTTGAGTCCTCAAATCATTAAATTTCTGCAGAGAGATGAAAGCAAGCCCGTAGAAACGCTCCTCTTTCATGCACCATCTCCCACTCCTGGTTCTCCTTTCACAAGGGATAATTATCTTGGAAATTGTGTGAAAACCCAGGAAATTCTCTCTCTCAGCAGGCCACAGCACAAGAAAGCACTGGCACAGGTTCTACTCTTGGACTTGATTTTTTCATTCCTACTGGTGAGGGCCAACCATTCTGATAACAAACCATCTTCTTCCAAGCTACTTTTATGTGGCAATAAAGGTGGATCAGGATTCCACCCTCTGCCACACAAAACCTTCTGTTGATATCTTCACTTTCTAAATTACATGATGATTCCTTCCACATGGATATCTGAGGATCACTGAGCTATACCCACCCCCATGAGAAAACTGCTGTCAGCAGACTTAAACTCAGGAGCTTCTTGTGATTTTACGGGATTCCGAGATGGTTGATAAGCCCTGGCCTGCATTTTCTGCTTTTTGTGGGGGGATCTGCTTTCACCATAATAAATAAATGCCCCTAACCCCTCCCACTAAACACTGCTATTTCAAGGCTTTCCCTGAAAGATTTTCCCTGAAAGATTGCTGGACTCTCCTGAACACAGCCTGACAAACCAGGGCAGTCAGTGCCTGTCCCTGCCAACAGGGGAGGTGAACAATCCCACGCCAGCACTTGCCGGCTACAACAGAAGATTGTTACCCAATGAATTTTCCAAAATCACGTGTTTAACCACGGACTGGCTCTGGTGCCAGCTGAGGCACATCTGCTCAGTGGTGGGACAAACTCCTTGGAACACAACATCAACTGCTTGCTGCCAAGGGGCAGCCCACACCCCAGCACCATCACACTGCAGGGCTGAAGTCAGAGAACATTTCTAGGGTGCAGGTTTTCCCTCACCACAGGCAGCACTCATCCCAGCAGGAGAGCCTGAAGCAGCAACTAATGAGCTGCTTTCCAAGTCTCCCATCATCTTGTGCTGCTGCAACTGAAAAAAGATCTATGTATTCCCTTTCCAGATGAAACACTCAGCATTAGAATGCTGTCTCCATGATCTGCTACAGCGCCTTGTGATCCATGGCAAACACTGGATGGATAATGAAGCTGAAGGAAAACAATAAAATCTTACACATAAATCTACCCATCAAACTCTGAAGAAATATGGTGCAAATGTAATTATTCACAAGTTTGCCTCCAGCTATTTCTTTCATTTACTTTTCAACTATGAAGTAAAATGAATTCTGACAACGCTGGGAATAAGAAACATTGCTTATTCCATATGGGCCGAAAGTCTAAAGCAGTCTTGTGTGACATTTGAACACAACCTAAACAGACCAGTCCTGCCCAAAACTGCTCAGGGAAGGGAAGAGGTTGCTGGGGTGGAAAAGGGGACTCAGTCTTTAGTCTCAGAAATTCCCATCTTCCAGATGAAACAGAAATTGCTCGTCACATTCTGGAAAAACCATTCAGCATGAAAAATCGAATCGGCTGAAGCCCCAGACTGGCATTTCACATCTCAGGTGCCATCCTCTGCCCCTGCTCACCCTGCTCACATCTGACAGGAGTTATGGGACCAGACCAAAGATGGAATACGCTCATAAAAATACTGCATTTTTCAGGGGCTAAACTGCAGCTTTTGGGAAAGAAGATTCAGTGGAGTGTGGGACAGAATCACAGTGCCCCGTAACAGGCCGGAAGCGCTATTTTGCCTCAGGCAGGATCATTACTTCCCACTGCTCCAAAGATTTTTCAAGCTGTGACAATCTTTATCCCAAGCTATTACACCAGCCTGTCCAATGAGGCAGAAAAGCCCCTAATTAAGAGGACCAAAATGGGCAGGAATCACACGGATGTTGACATCCATGTGGAGCATTATCCTTATGCGATGGGAAGAGTCATTTTATCGGCCCAGACTCCACAGAGAAACCAGACAGCTGGAGAAAACATATGGATGCTCAGAGGTGTGGAGGCCACACCTCTCACACACACTCCTCACAAGCAATAGTTTCAAAAGCCAAGAGCTGATGTTGGCCATTCTTTCCTCTTTGTA